TAGAGATAGATAGATAGATAGATAGATAGATAGATAGATAGATAGATAGATAGATATCTATCTATCTATCTATCTCTTGTTCTCTCTCTATCTCTATCTCTATGTCTCTCTAACTGTTGTTTTTTTCCTTCTCTCCCTTAATTTGTGTGTTATTGATTGATTCATCTTCCTTTTTTTTCATTCTTTTTGTTTTCTTCTTCAATTTAACATTTTATCATTCATCAGTTTAAAACTTGTCTAAATCATTTACGACTTTTTTTTCTTTCTTTCTTGTTTGCATTTCGATTTGTTTTACAGAAAACCGGGAGAAAATGGCGCACAGAAGAAGAAAACGCGAAACGATGAGTGAAAATGGAGTAAAATGGCGTGGAAAAAGGTTAGATGAAATTGGCAAAGATGATTGGTTGTCGGGAATAGCGATGACGTCATTGAAGGCAAGAAGAAACAGAAAAAAAAAGGCTCAGAATGGTTCGTCACATTTATTCTGTGATGAAAGAGAATAAAAATAAGCGAAGGAACGGCGAAGAAAATAATAATAATAATAATAATAATAATAATGTGAGGAGGAGGACGACGACGAGTCGAGGGCTAATAAAAGTAAGGAAAAGTCAAATAAAATTTGCTAGAAGAAAGAAAGAAAGAATGAAAGAAAGAGAAATAAATAAGTAAAGAAAGAAAGAAAGAAAGAGAAATAAGTAAATGAATAAAGAAAGAAAGAAAGAAAGAAAGAAAGAAAGAAAGAGAAATAAATAAGTAAAGAAAGAAAGAAAAAAGTGAAATAAGTAAATGAATAAAGAAAGAAAGTAAGAAAGAAAGAAAGAGAAATAAATGAGTAAAGAAAGAAAGAAAGAAAGAGAAATAAGTAAATGAATAAAGAAAGAAAGAGAAATAAATAAGTAAAGAAAGAAAGAAAGAAAAAAGTGAAATAAGTAAATGAATAAAGAAAGAAAGAAAGAAAGAAAGAGAAATAAATAAGTAAAGAAAGAAAGAAAGAAAGAAAGAAAGAAAGAGAAATAAGTAAATGAATAAAGAAAGAAAGAAAGAAAGAAAGGAAGAAAGAAGGAAAGAAAGAAAGAAAGAAAGAAAGAAAGAAAGAAAGAAAGAAAGAAAGAAATAAGTAAAGAAAGAAAGAAAGTGAAATGAGAAGGATATTGTGAAAAGGAAAGAAGAAAATGATAGTGAGTGATGAAGGAGGAAAAGTAAATGATTGGAGCAATGAAGAGAAAGAGTGATTAAAAAAAATTCTTCAAAATGTTGTGTATCAGAAGAAAGATGTTAAAAGGCGTAAAAAGAAAGCATTTTTTGTGACTTTCTCGGCGATAGTCTTTCAAGTTCTAATCTGCATATTTGATATTCTTATCAATATTACATCGGAAATATTACGTTGTAAAAAAAACATCAAGTCAAAACATTTACTGAAATAGCTTTAAGACTATCTTGAAATTACATAAAATAAAATAAAAATTGCTCCCATTTTATTTCATGCGATGAATACATTTTTTTCTGCGTGTATTTGTGAAAGAACTCCACGTACCCAAGTAAAAATGTAAATTATTTTCTATTCGAAATACACATGTACATCAATATGTACGTAAAACTGTACATATAGGCATGTCTTTAACATATATAAATATATTATATATATACTTACATATATAAAATTCAGGTGCATTCACACATAATGTAGCGCTCAATATTACAGAAACAATGCTTACAAAAAAAAGGGCAATTCTATAGATATGATCATCAAAAAAATTGCAGTAAATATTCTTAAAACTTGTTTTTAACTTTGGTAAATTTATATAAAAGAGAGAAAAAAATAATGGAACAAAAACTGTTTTTATTGAAAACAAAGTTCAGCATGCAAAATTCTAGAACAAAATTGTAAATCTACATCTGAATGAAATTTAATAATTTTAATATGATCTTATTATCTGTCTATATTTCTGAGATGAGGTATTATGTACATTATTTACATTATTCGGACTATTGTCCTCATCTTTGTCATCTTATTATTGTCGTTTTATTAGTTTAATCTCATTATTGACATAATATTGTTAGAGATCTAATACAATTTAGTGAATATTTACAATTCCTCTTTTCGAAACTGCAATAATATTAGAAAGTAAATAAATGGAATTATTTATCTTTTTATATTTACGAGACTTGTAGGTAAATCATTATCACAAGGAAAAATCCTTCAGTGTCTGTATATTTCTGAGATGAAGTATTATGTACACTATTTACATTATTCGGACTATTGTCCTCATCCTTGTAGCCATATTTATCACCCTTCAGTATCTGTCTATATTTCTGAGATGAGGTATCATGTACACTATTTACATTATTCGGACTGTTATCCTCATCTTTGTAGCCATATTTATCACGCTTCAGTATCTGTCTATATTTCTGAGATGAGGTATCATGTACACTATTTACATTATTCGGACTGTTATCCTCATCTTTGTAGCCATATTTATCACCCTTCAGTATCTGTCTATATTTCTGAGATGAGGTATCATGTGCACTATTTACATTATTCGGACTATTGTCCTCATCTTTGTCACCATATTTATCACCCTTCAGTATCTGTTTATATTTCGGAGATGAGGTATTATGTACACTATTTAGATTATTTGGACTATTTCCCCATCTTAGTCGCCATATTTATTACAACGTTTCGGCCTTTGTACGCTTAAAAATCATCAAAAGCGGAATAAATGTCGTTTTGAAGTCCTTTATTTCGCTCACCCTAGAGACTGTCCATAGTGAAGGATATGTAAACAAATGGATGTCAGTTATCAGTTCACCTGTTAATTCCCATCTAACGCCTTTATCCACTATTATCTTCTAACACCTTTATTGGATGTGCCAATGTATATAAGGACACATGGCACAGGGGATAAAGGCGTTGGTTAGATCCAGTTACAGGACCCATCCTAATGAGTTCAAACCCGGTTAAGGCAGTGCAGAATTTTAAAGGGAAGGGAAACAGAAGATAATTGATAACTGACATCCATTACATAGCATTTGGAACTAGAACAGTTACCCCGGTGAGCGGAATAAAGGGTTCAGTTCGAAAATTCCAACCATTGAAGAAGGTCCGATTCGTACAACGGTCGAAACGTTGTATATAAATATGGCGACAAAGATGAGGACAATAGTCCGAATAATTTAGATTGATAGAAATATTCGTGAGACATGTACAGTTGATATTTTTGATTTTTTTGCTCATTAAAGGCCACAAGAGTTCATTAATTCATCAAATTGTTCAGGTATGATCTTTGTCCCATTCTTCCTGTAGTTTCTGCCACAAATGAATGACTCTCATCAGTTTTTTTTGCATTAACATATTGTCTTATTGATTTCGCATTATAATAAAATGACATTTTCTATCATAAACATAAAGATAGGTTCAGGGACATGAAGAGGGAGACAGGAGAACCTTCATGAAGACCTTCTTCACATAAATAACCCGGCAATGTATGCCGAGATATATTTATGCTAAATTAAAGGAGGTGGTATATTAAATAAAGATTTAATATTGTAAATATTGCACAATCAAGAGATTTTTTTTTCAATCGGTATCACCCCCCCCCCTGCAAGGCAGTAAAGCCACTAAGAAACAAGGGGTTACAGTGTGTTGAAGAATTAGGAACAGAAACATTAATAATGGAGCGTGAAGAGGAAAGAGTAATCAGGAGCAGGAAGTGACAACTCAACACCGACGACTCAGCGCCTAATAGCGACTCACCGACTGTAGCGACTCACCGATTGAGCGCCGGGACAACTCGGGCTAAGATAACTCAGGACTGAGACAACTTAGCACCAGAAAAACATAACTTTTTTTTAATAACCGAATAAACGTAATTTATTAAGGATTAAAAATTTAATTAGTGATTTTTTTTTTCAAATGTGGCATTTGAAAAGGCGAAGTAAAATATGAACCATTTTTTTTTGTTTTTAATTATTTTAATAATTTTTTTTCATAAATTTATTAAATAGTAAATTACGCTACGATTTACTTTATTAAAACTAATTAAAAACAAAAATTGGTTGCATTTCATATGGCAGTTTTTGATTTACTTTATTAAACAATTAAAAACAAGTGTGTTTTATTGAATAATTTTTTATATGTCAATTTAATTTATTAAAAAAATAAATTTCTTTATGATTTATTTTGTGATGTTAGACGCTCTCACTCGTTGTAACTTTCGTTAGGTCAACGAATGCTCGTTGTCACTTCCAAAATGCTCGTTGCAGACGAGATTTTGTAAAGCAGATACTGGTAGTAGTATCACCTCCAAATAATACTCGCACTAATAATACTATATAGTAATAGTAATTCGTATAATGATCAGTATAGAGAATTAGTATAGTGGATATTATAGAGAATAGTGATCACTTAGATATCACGCTAATTCCTATTTTTGCGTTTCCTTTACGTTCACGTGCTCTGCTTATTTAATAATGAAATCGTCCATGTTTGCTCACTGTGTTCAAACTAGTGTCGGCAACGTCACTTTACGTCACTTTATTCTCATACAGCAATTTATTTTACTAAAAATAATTAAAAATAGAAAACTGGTTCATATTTTACATTTTAATAATATATTTTCAAAATGCCTTATTTGAAGAAAATATATCTATAAAAGGCAGGATGTGTGTATGTGTGTGTAACGAATGCACGGCTGTAATTTTCAACGGATTTGAACCAAAATTTACATGCACATGCTCCAAGTTAGCGGGAAGGCCAAGACCGACTTTGCATTTCCCAACTCCCATCGATAGTGGAAATAATAGATTTTTTCATGCTTCTACGGCAGTTTTCATGTAGTTTGCGCCCATTTTCTACTGGCCAGTGTGAGAGCCTATAGCTTGCTGCCACGAATAGACAGGAAGATTCTATTGGCCAGCGTGAGAGCCAACAACTGACTGACACGAATGTTAACTAGCATGCAAAAAAATCGATAGCTGCATTCGTCACAAGTGGGAAAAATTTAAATCTGCATGGCACTTTACTCCAATTGGCTCATTCGCTTGCTTAAACTAAACGTTGATTCTGATTCCGCAGAACTAGGTTGGGTGTGAAAAAGTATTTGTTGTTAACATTCTTTTTTCATTCGGTTTTTCCAGTTACGAGTCGTTTTTTAAAGCTGATCGTTTTGTGTTCATTTTGTTTAGTTCTTTTTTCGTAACAGATTTAATGTTTAGCATAGAGCTTAGAAAAAATTCGCAGTGTGAGATAGGCAAGAAGTAAGGAATGTAGCAACATCAGCACGGCAAATGGCACTCCTTTAAAGGCAAGGAAAGGCAAAAATATTTTAAGTCAAGTGATAGCGATTGCTGTATGAGTCGTACGATTTTTGAATCAAGCCCGGACAACGCCGGGCCATGCTGCTAGTTCACTAATAAAGGTTTTAATTCTTAATAAATTACTTTTATTCGCTTATAAAAAAAAGTTATGATTGAATATTTCTTATTTTTGCTTTGTAGAAACGTGTTTCATTTTCGCTGACATGAACTGCTTCGAGGATGTTCTTCATTGACTGCGTGGCAAACTTTTTAAAGATTTTCATCATTTCGCCCTGTTAAAGGTCGTCCAGACAATAGTCGGTGTTGGTTATGAAATTTTATTTCGCCATATTTGTAAGGCCGATTGTCATATAGAAATCTTTAATTTTAAAGGTGCATTAACCTACAAATCACTCGATGAATGTTATGATCCTTGTTTTTAATAACTATGTTTGTATATAAGTCTTTCTTAAATACGCAAGTAATTTTGCGTATTTAAGAAAGATCTTATACAGCTTATAATTAAAAAAAAAAAATAAGAATCATAACATTCATCGAGTGATTTGTAGGTCAATGCACCTATAAAATTTTGTTAGCCAAGGGATTTCGCCATTTTATATCATTAACATTACTAATTTATTTTTGTATGAATGATTCATTGTAATTGTTGAAACTTGAATAAAGCATGGAATAATAATAATACAACACAAAATGTACTTAAACAAAATGTATTGACACAAGAACGTGTACACAATATTTACAGAGAGTTTGGTATATTCTTGGGAAGACCGTTCCTGTAGAATGGATTGACTTTAGTCGCAGTCGGGCAGAGTCTCTGGATTGGATCTCTTCTTCCTCACCCCGTCTTCCCGGTACCAACCCATATTTATATGGTCGGTACTCCAATATGTAAATTAGGTGGATCGTACCACAACAGTAATATAAAGTG